GTCAAGAAACTTTCCCTTCTAGAAAGAGACAGGAGTCGCAATTTCAGGCCAAGCAGAGTAGAAATTCTCTTTTCTTTGACCTGCCAGAGACTGTGACCAGTGCATTAACCTGTTAATTAGAAAGTTGCACTTCTAGCAGTGAAGGAAGAAGACTGGAAAAAAAAACACCTAAAGAGGCAATAACATTTGCTAATTATTTGATTTTAAGGGCCTATATGAGTAGAAAATACTATTGATTTGCTTTGGTTTTTTGTGAGTCATCTCTATACAGTCCATCACCAGATCAAGTACTACAAGTTCTTTTTCTTGTACTTCAGCAGCTTGATTGTCCAGTCTTACCCACGTGTTCAGACTTTGTGGTAAGGTAGTGTAGGTGGTGTAAGTGGTCTTGTACATCATGCATGTTCATTACAGGGTGGTGGTGGCAGCCTTTTGTAAAACAACTGAAATACTTGGACTGTACCTACCCCAGCTTCCCTCATCACCACGGGGATACTGTCAATAGGCTCATAGAGCAAATCATTTCACTGTTTGCTTACCTTTCCTCCAAAAGCAAACTTTAAATGCTTTCCTTTCCCCAAAGAACGAAACAAAGGCAGTGGCTTGACCTGACAGTATCCTCACATGTGTAAAAACTATATAAACTAAATTCTTATTAGAGTAATTGAGGACGATAGATTTAAGAAATATCATGACAGTGTCCCCCATTCCTTTTTTTTATAAAGTTTTTTTAAAAAATCCAAATAATAAAATAAATGTCTTTGTCAATATTTTATGAATAGGAAAAAAAGTTTTGTTAATTAGAGGGGGTAAATGACACATCTATAACTATATAGTTTTAAATAGGTGCATCATGAAAAGAGAAAAATTAGTGGTGCTGTCTCTGCTGACCTGTTTCATATGATTTTTTAAAAATCTATTTCAGCACCTCTGGAAATTGTTTTAATATTTCAGACTAGTTTTTTTGAGCAATAAGAGTATATACCATTGTGTGCATTTTTAAAGCACTGCTATGGAAAGGCACTTTTTTGTATCTTTCAAATTGTTCACAAGTTTTGTTTCTACTATTTTTGTGCTTACAAAGTGTCCTTAAAAGCATTTGCATTGTTGATTTTAAGCATGCTCAGTGTAGCTGGTGAGTAACTTCACAGGAAGGTTGTTAAGCTACACTGCAATTCATGGGTGCTGTAATTCTCAACGTTGTCCTCTCGCTGCTCTGTACTGTGTGCAGCTCCTGGGGCTCAGACACACCAGTGGAGCAAAAGGCACATGCACAGTCACAACTCCTCAGCTGTTACCGTGACGGGTAAGTGGGCACGTTCTGCTCCCTGGCAAGATGCAGCGTGTGCTCCCAGGTGAGAGCAGGCAGGGGATTCTGCTTGCCCCTTGTGCTTTTCTTTTCCCCAGGACAGCTCCACTGGTGTGTGTCAGTTCCAGCCCTTTTACTTTCCTTCGTTCAGTGCGGGTACCTCTGTGCTTTGGACTCAGCACAGCAACGTTTTGAGTGCAATTTCTTCAGAGACACTTGAGCTTTGTTCTCATTTTCCTGTGCCCACGTTCATTTTCCCAGTATCATCTCTCCTTAGGCAGTGAATCCATGCTTACTACTGCAGGCTCCTAATAGCTTGCTGGAAGACAGACGTTTAACTCTTTAGTTTGCCACAAAAAGAATGAGTACTAGCAAAAGGTGGCACCCTGTATTCCTTCTTGTTACAGTTTACTTCCTAAGTCAGTAGTAATCCAGAAATACAGTGAGTGGCTGCAGCTTCCTTCCTCTCAGCTAAGCACTGAAATTTGGCTGCAATGTGGGTCAGACAACCTAGTTGTCTTTTCAGCTTAGGAGACATCCTCCCCACCCCCTCCCCGCATTGTAACTTGGTTTTCCAGTGTATTTATTTACCGTTTTTGTGAAAGTAAATATTTACGCCTTATTTGCAAGGAAGTTATTTTCCCCTGTGTGCAATGGTCTCGTAATTGCACCATTATATTTATTTAAATCAGAAAATTAAGGGGCTGGATCTCAGACACACAGGAAGATGCTTCCTGCTACAAACATGGGCAGTAATCCCTCCAGCACTATTAAAATGAGCACGTGAAAGCTGAATTTTCATACTTCAGACACAAAGAGAGCTGGTGCTTTGATCCTGAAATACTAAGAGTGTGAGGCTACTTAAAACCCCAGTTGTGTGACACTTGTTAAGGCGGGTATCAGGGAAGCCCCACTGCTGCAGGGGCAGCTGAGAGCATACAGCTGCCTTTGTTAATCTGTTCCAGGTTTTCATTTTCTCTCTCATGCAGCAGTAGCATCCATTTCTGAGCAGCATGCTCCTGTTCAGCCAGGTTTCTCCATGACTGCAGCACAGGTGTAGAAAGCAGGAAGCTAGCCTTCTCAGACACTTCTGTCATAATTTAGATGTTGGGAAGTTGTTTTGAAAGGGAAAACGAGGCTTTTCTATCAGCACTATTCTTAAGAGGAGAAATTTTTAAAAAACAAACACAGGTTCTGAACAAACCATGGTAACGATGGAGGTGGCTAGGCTGGGGGTTCTGATTAGTACTTTTAAAACCTGTGGCTGGGAGAGGAGGTTTCTGCTTCACCCTGCACAGTGGTTTCTTCCTGTGGCAAACCACCCCTGACTGCTCTGACTTGGTGCGTGACCTCAAAAGCCAAAGAGCTCCTCTCCTGAACTTACTCTGCAGTTGCCTGCAGGGCAACAGTGACTGACTGACACATCAGGGAAACAAAGTGAAGCTACCTGGATCACTCTGGTTTCAGGTCTGATGGGAGAGGAAGCAGTTTTTTCAACAAGTGCATTTTAACATTTACTGTTCTGGGCTTGTACATTTAAAGGTTTTCTAAATTCCTTCTTTCTGTGCCCTTAGGGAACTGGATAAATCAAATGAGCTCAAAGTGTGGCCAGTTTTCCTCCAATTTAAAAACCTTTTTTCCACAGTTTAAGGAACCAAAAGTGCCATTTCAACAGGAGAAAGGCAAAAGAGAAATTTTCTGCTTTTTACAGAATACGGCATAGAACCAAATTGTTTTGCTTCAGCGGTACCATTGCAGGTAAATTTGTCTCTTATTCAAAATAAGATAAGTGGGTCTTAGTATGACTGTTACTTCAACTAGTGTCGTGTTAAAATCGGTAGCAGTCCAGGAAAGCAGTATAAACTCCTGGCAGAAGGTGGTGAGGATACAGCCAGAATATGAGTTTGGTTGTGTTTTCCTTTATGCACTGATAAGGTGTAGATTATGTACTCAGTGTACTCCTCATCTGGAGGTGAGAGTCTTAATTTGTTGGAGCCCATTTGTGGCTCCTGGTGTTTAGTTTTGCATTCCCTTGCACAATCGGGGCAGACTCCAAAACAGAGAGATTTAACACTACAAGGGATAATTTTCTTTTGGATGGTTTTTGTAACGTGCTGGGGTTTTAAGCTTTGTTTTGGAATTATAAGTTTGTCTTAAATTCAGCAATTTTCCTTTCTGAATTCTTTCTTCAATTAAAAAATGCCCACAAAGACTAACCAAACCAGGGTTCTGTTGTAGGGGGCAGCACTCACTAACACTGTGATCCAGTGAGTCACAGGATTGGTGTAGTTTTGAAAAGTTTAAGACACTAAACTGCAACTGAGCTGACAATGCGTGCGTATCCCACGCAGTGTAAGTTATCGTGACTGCCACTGACACAGGGAAAATGGTGACTTGGATTATTTGGTTCTGCGAGGCACTCGAGGGCAAGGACTCAAGGAGCTCTGTTGAGCAATGTGTGTGTGTGTATCTTTGGTGACAGCAGTTAGAGAAGTTGGAAGACCAGGAGGAACAGGAACTAGCGCTGGATGCACAATCCCCCACAGCAGGGACTTAGTGAGATAAATGAGAAGAAACTTGAGTGACAGATTTTGGACAGCAGTACCCCCTTATTTAAATGCTTAAAGGCAACTTGCTTTTTAGGCGGCTTGTCTTTTAGGAGACTTTGGAACTGAATCAACTGTTCCCTCCAGTGGAAAATAATTTCCTCCCAGCTATCCCAAGATGCCAAAGATGCATTCAGAGCTAAATTCCAGGTACGCAGATGTGCTTGCACCAGCCTCTTGAGAGGCCAAGTTGCCAGGAGCTGACGTGCTGCTGATCTGCTGCATGCGTCTGGCGATGAGCAGGGTTCCGCTGTTAGATGTTGTGCATCCCTTGCCTTTAACCGACACTGCAAACTGGGCACACACCTGCGAGGGGCGGGGGTGAAGGATAGTTTAGCAAACCAACCTGTGCCCACAGTGCCCTGCTGCTGATTTGGTGCAGCTTGTACTTCTAAAAGGAAAACGAAATGCTTTGTCACAAGTTGTAATCCGAAATCTTAGGCCTCCTAGTGGACTGCAGTGGACCAGAAATTAACTGGAGCAGCAGTTTGTTCTATGGCTTACACTAACTGTTAGCAGCCACTGGGAATATTCTGTATCATACTGGAGACGCAAGTGTAAGAAAAAGTGTCATTGCAATGATGATTTGTCTGTGCAGCAAACTTGTGCTGAGTGCTGTAAATACATTCATGTTTACTGCTTTAAAAAGAAAATTGCACATTTTATCTTTTAATGGGATTGCCTCCCCTCTTCTTCCCTTTCCAAAAAGAAAAATCAAAGCTCTTTTAGACTGATAGCTTCAGGTTGGGGGGAGCTTTGCCATATTATAAATATATATAAATATATGTATAAATATACTTTTTTAAGCATGAGAGAGGACAAAAGAAATACTACATTATAGAATACCCAATATAGATCATTATACAATGGAATATGCACAATTCAATAAAGATGTAGTTAAATTTAATAACCTGTTTTAATCCTCTGTCTTGCAATTTTCCTTTTTCATGAGTTCAAAACCCTCTGTGTTCTCAGGTCATCCATCCATGGTTCCCCTCAGAAGGGGTTCAAGGTATCTGACGGCCTACACGTTACCACTGATATGCTCACTCTAAATAAAATCGCTTTTTATTCCTTTGCACAGTTCTTTCCAGGGGTCAGTGCTGGCTGTACCAGTAACATGGTGCACACCAATTACAGGTCTAAAGAGGACCCCGTGTGAAGGCTCACCTTTCCACCTGCCTCCTTCCTCAGGCTTGCAGAGTCCTGTCCAGCTCTGCTCACAGGGGAACAGCTGCTGGCTGGTAAGTGTTGCTGCGGCCCCTCTCTGGGGCCCACCGTAGGGAATGTGGCTCTGTTCCTCCCCCTGGGATCTGCTCCCAGGCTGGCCCTGAGAGCAGCACAGATTTGAGATGTTACATTAGCAATTACCAGAGAAGGAGCAGTCATACAGAGGTGGAGAGAGGAGCTGCTGAAGGCAGCAGGCTCTATGCCAAGGATCAGAGTTTTGCTGTGGGAAGTGCAGTGCTCAGAGATCCTCGGGGATCCTGCTGCACACATAACCCACTATCCCCCTCCTTAGTGTATGTAAAAGTCTGTAGCCAAAGACAAAGAATGTGACACAGCTGTGGCACGCTCACAGAACACATGGTGTGTGCTTTGTTCCTTTTATTTAGGGCTTGTAACAAGAGGGTTTAGTACACAGCAACAGTTAATTCCAAGTACAATTAAAAAAATTTAAAAATTGGGTTTTGCACTCACTGGAAGGTGGTTCAAATGGCACACACAATAAAATGTTACTGGCGGCATACAGCTCCCCAGAGTCCTGTGGGCTTGGTCATTTACAGTGGGCTCTGCACTCATCCACTGCATCAGCAGTACCAAAAGCAAAAGCACAGCATGATACTCCTCTGACTACAAACCAAAGGGGGTATCTGCTTTCACAAAAAAGTGCATGGACAAAATCCATGTTTAGACACTGACATCTCCAGAGAATTCATAGAAACTATTTGTCCATGCAAGTTGCAAAAGACATTTTTTCAAATGTGAAAAGAAGCACTTGTTCTTTACAAAAAACTCTCAGACCTGTCAGCACTTTACCGAGGCGCTGTAATGGAAATGAATTTGTACACAGCTCTTCCTATTAGTCAGCAGTGGTAGGATTCTTCTGAGGTGTTAAGAGAAACTGGAACAAACGTTCTGCACACATTTCAGCAGGGTCTCCATGTCAGTGTTCAGCAGGTTGCTGGCTGTAGGCTGACCTCTGGATGTCAGGCTGCTGCTGCCTTCACTGTTTTGTAACAGATCTTGCTTATAAGCACAGGTGCTAATAAAGTTAGTATATTTAGAGTACCAAAGAAACAAACTCTTCCTGCATGGGTAGGAGACTGAACAAAACACAAGGGTGGGATTTTTTTGAATGAAAGCAGCAGAACACCATGGTCTGTGAATTACTCTTTCTAACAGCAGTTGTCAAGCCCTGGCTGCACCAAGCTTTCAGCAGTCTCCCCAAGGACATGAGGTAGGGGGTCCCACTATTCTTGAAGTTTTAAAATCAGAAATAGGTCAATGGGACAGTTACTACACATGGACTTCAGCGGGGGGAGAGGGGGACCCAAACCACACATTGTTCCCTCTTGTACTGTTCTGACCTCTGTGCAATAATGTGGCAGTGCCAAATACTGGGAGATGTCAAAAGATGGGGAAGGTGAATAGACCTGTAAGCACAGTAGATTCTTGTAAGTGGCACCTAGAAGTTGTAGCCCATCATCTACCTGCTACTGCTCAGTTTCCACCATCTTCTCTTGAGATTAGTGTTGTAAATACTTGCCTTAGGGAATGCAACAGCACTGTATGTTTTCCACTGCCACAGTTGCCAACATGGGAACTGAAGTCTTTACATGGTGCTTGTAATGCTGCAGTGCTTATTCAGTGACTGTCTATACCCTGAATACAAGTACTGCTTCTAGTAAAACCACAGCACCATGGTCTCTTCAACAGCATCCTCTAGCAGCTTCCAAAAAGTTGGCCTGCAGAGAATACAGACTCCACCTGTTTTACAAAATGTCCTGTCCCAACTCCAAGGAGGAGAAGCCCTGTAAATGCTCCCAGTTCCATCCTTACCAGAAAGGAAAACATGAGTTTTGCTTTATGCCTGGAGCCCACAGACATAACTAATAAAAAAGCAAGCTCATTTCCAGCAGCATTTGCTAAGAAGCGGTAGAAGTTGCTAGGAAGAGCTCAGCACTAAGTCACCATCAAGCACAAGTGGGAGACATCACAGAAGCACAACAGTGTCGGTGCACAACCTTCGTCCACCTCTAGTCAACAACACACACAGAGCAGGCAGGCAGCCCATCCACCCTCTGCCAGAAAGGGCTCATCAGTCCTGCTCCCGCCTGGCTTCCTTCTCATAATCAAGTGAAACGCCCTGGATAAAAGTGGCACTTGGCAGAAGCTGCCAATGTCAACTTTGGCTGTCACCAAAAACCTTCAGCAGCAAAGAAAGAAAATGCCCAGCAGCTGTGAAAGGAGAACAAATTGCTCTAGCAAGAACTAGCTGGGTCTAAGCCTTTCTGGCACCCACTGGTAAGCAACTCAGCCACAGACCACAGGACCTGTAGCTCACACCAGCAGCAATCTCCAGCCACTTTCAGGAACAACTAACTGAAATAACTGCAAGGACAAACTGAATTCCAGGAACATTATCAGCCTCCGGATAACACACACCAGATTCTCATCTACCTTGGGGCCACGCCACACCTCTTGTCCTCTAGTGAGAGCAGTGCTCTTCAGTGCAGCAGTATCTGCCTGTGTCTCACCAGTGAGACCAGCAAGTGTTCAGGCATTGCTTCAGCTCTCTGGGGCCTATTCCAGCCAGTGTGCATGGACTCACACTCTCTGGATGCTCGAGCATAAGATTTGCTGCTTGCCTCTCCTGCCCCTCTCAGCCCTCTGCTCTAACCAGTGAGAGAGAGAAAAAAAAAGATGAGGGGAAAAAAAATGGGTGAGACACATGCAATCTCAGCCATCTCTCTTAGGCTGGAAAGAAGGCACCAAAATTAACCTGCTTCGGCACTAGATGTGGACAGGCTCAGTCAGACTTCCCCTCGTGCAGGCACATGATGGAGAGGCAGCTGTAATTAACAGCTCTGTCCCTGGGGCCAAGAGGAAGGAAGAAACCTCTAATACAGCAAACCAAGGCAAAATACACCGCTAGAGAATGCTGAACAATTTCTGTGCACAATGAAAACAGCTGGCTGGGCTAAGGCAGTTCTCACAAAGGGAGAAACATATTCATTTTGGCCATACAGCACTCTTTGGGCTATGCTGGAGCATCTCCTTCCCCCACCTCTCATGCCTACACAATCCTGCTTCAACAGCCTGTGATGCTGAACACCTTCAGGTGTGGCAGCAGAACGCAGCAGTGCAGAGATGCCGTGCATCTACTTCAAATAGTGAGGTGTTTCTCCCCCATCCTAGTCCCAATTGCCAGCCCCTTTTAAGTTAAACCTGTAAATTAAAAAGGGGTGGGGGAGAGAAGGTTTTGGACAAGGAGAAGTACAGGGGACAAAACTGGAAACACAACCCTCACTGACTTTACTAGCATGCAATCTATGTAACATTAATATACAAAGCCTGTTTACCTTGGTCTGGTCTATGACCATTATATCACATCATCCCCGAGGAAGCCACAGAATTAAAATCTGTACAAAATAAAAATATGCATAAAACTCAACAAATTTCTTTACATTAGTACTGCATAATAAAGCATAAAACCAGCAGGTGGTGACCCAGAAATTCTATCCACAGCAGTTCTTGCAGGATAAACAATTCCACATGCTATCAGCAGGGACCAAACTAACCCCTGGCCCATCAGACCAAAACCAGTTCTTGAAGGAATGTCACACATTCCACTTTCATGGTTCTGCAGCCTCGTCTTCTGTGCTGGGCTCTGGCAAGTGCTCAGCTCACACTGCTCTGCTCTCACAACACAGAAAACTTTCAAGATAAAAAACAGCTGAATGAAGATTAAGGATGTGGGTGTGTATCACACACTATCCCCACCACCTGTCAGAAGAGTTCAAGCACTCTCTTACACAGACTGGGTTACAGACACATTTCACTAATGCATGACCTGCCAGCTGGAGTGTGGCTGCACAGGCACAGGGTTTCAGCTCTCACTTAGTAAATCACTGAGCTGCCCCAACAATGCATTTGAGCACTGTGGGCTCAGTCCTTGCCATAAACACATCTAAGGCAAGAGAAGCCAGGAAAGCTCTGACAGTCCTGGACAACACAGCCACCCTATAAGCACCAAAGGCTTGTTAATGCTGCTGTTCAATTGTCCCTGGCTGCAAGCACCACCTCCCTGTGCCAAAAGTGTAGACACTGGAAACGGTCATTCCAGTGACTACACAACCAATGGTTCTGGGCTTGCTCCCAGGGAAATGATGGACTGAGGGAACTGAACATGGCTGCTTCTTCTAGTCTTGCTGCAAGACAACTTTTCACAAAGAAAAAGGCATACAGGTATCTGTTCTGGCAAACACACCCAAACAATAATGCTGTTAGCTTCCAGAAAGAAGACAACAGTGCTTAGGCTACATGTGGATTGAGCAGGGGAGAAAGTAACCTCTATCTGCACACCATTTTCTTCAGAGTTGTCCCTCCTGTAGACTTCAACCAAACTAGCTTCTTGTGTGCAAGCTCACAGCAGGTGATCATGTTCCTCTGGGTCCTGCAAACCACCACACCCATCCGTTTTCTCATTCTTCCCCCTTGAGCAGCTGTGGCACCTCCCTGCCCAGGTTTGCACCAAACCTGCACCTCCATCCTGGTATTGCACCGATTACCAAGCAAGGGATTGGTATTACCTGTCTGTTGCCAATACCATCACAAACCCAGCCCTGGTGGTGTTCTCTTGGGCACTGCTCTGCTTTTCACACAGGCCTCTCCAAGACAAGTGCAGCATTGTCTCACCTTGGAGAAGCTACTGTTGGTACCAGCTGGAACTCGGCCAGGTGACAGTCAAAAGTTGCCCAGGACGATGCCCTGGCCCAGGAGGCTCTCACGATACACATCAGCTCAATTTGCAGGCTAACAAGACTCAACAGGAAATTTAATCAGTTAATGCATGATATTTACCCAAAGGTAACACTTAGACCTTCCCTTAGGCAGATAGTACAGCCATCACTTACAGTGATCTGCTGTGTACAACCACAGAGCAGAATTTTTAACTGAGACTAGATTAAAAAGCCAAGTATTATCACAAGGGGCTACAGAGCCTTCAGTTGGTATTACT